TTCCTTGGTAGTCTGGGGGGCCAGTCTACAAATTTGTTCCAATGCCAGATCTTGCCATGAAAGATCCGTAGCTAAGATTAAACACTTCAATACTTGAAGTGTCAAGGCCTGACATTGAATTTTTGGGTCAATAAGCCTCAAGCCCCTTTTAATTTTGGGCTGGATTAAGGTATGTCAGACTACTCTTGGGATCACGTGTGGTGACTCATGATCTCCTCGCCATAGAAAAGTTGTGAGTTGCCTTTGTAATTCCTTTGTAGATTTCTTACTAAGTGACCATAGAATTGCTTTGTATGAAATTGAGGCTTAAACAACATTATTGATTATTAATGCTCTGCCAAATATAGATGTATGTTTATTTTTCCACAACTTTATTTTTTCTAATGCTGGGGAAGAAATCCATAAATCGTTTGAATTAGGTTTCCCTTGGGCAGTGAGAATCACCCCTAATACCATCATAGGAGTCTCTAGAGGTAACCATTTAATCATAGGGAGTTCCGGTGGTCTATCCCCTTGAGAGTGAATCCACCATCCCAGCGTTTGGCAATTGGAGAACTTGTTTTGATCCTCTCCGAAAATTTATGAGGCTGAGCGCCATAGATAAAATGAATCGGTGACGGGCGGACTCTGAAAGAGGCATGCGACCGATAGCTGACTTGTACTGGTGCTTCAAAATCGGAACAATACAAAGAAGATTAGCATGACCCCTGCGCAAGGATGACACACATAAATCGATAAATGGTCCAATTTTTTCATGACCTGTTGAAATAGAGACCCGAGTTTGAATCCAGATGATGAAATTTGATTAGTAAAACCAAATATTCCTGAATTGTCTGGGGCCGGTTAACTCAATGATGATATCTCAAGACCGTCAGCCTTTTTTTTTTTTTTACAATGTTATGCAACATTGCAAAAAAAAAAAAAAAAAACAATCGAAAAAACAACAACAATTCCCCCCCTCTCCTTAAACAAAGAAAATATACTATATAAGCCATCAAATGTGCTTGGCGTCCCGCACAAATATTGTGCAATTTCTTTAGTGCACAAGGCATCACCAACTAAGAAAATACAAGCAACTTCTGCCTCCTAATCATCTCGCTCGTAGCGAAATGCGAGTCAAAATCAATAACTAATAATAATAATAGTAATAATAGTAATAATAATAATAATAATCGTAATAATAATCATAATTATAATTACAATAAAATACAATAATAATAAGTAATAAAAATAATAGTAGAATAATAAATTAATAATAGTAAAAAATAGTTTAAAATACGCACTCCTACGTACGGGAGTATGTGTACTTCTGTACTCGAGACCCGCATACACCTATGCCATGCCACTCATATATGTATATAGCTCTGTTTGACGATATATATATCTTCTCCCTCTTTCCCTACTGTTTACCCAATAACTCTCTTTGACTACATATATATCTGTTTGACGATATATATATATATATATATATATATACAGGGTCACCAGCCCGTACGTACGAAGGTCCCCGGCCAGACCTCCGTACGTACGGGGTCCGAACCCGACGGCGTTCGGCCCCCGCCAAAAATTATTTCGGGGCCTTTTTTTTTTTTCTGAATTTTTTTTTGTGAGTTCTCTATGACGTGAGGTACATGCCTTTAAAATTTCAAGTTATTTGGATCATCAAAATAAGAATTAAAAATCGCCAAAGATGGCAGTGTCAAAAGGTGCTCGCCCACGTTTTTTTTCACTTTAGTCTGGGGTCTAAACAATTTTATTATTTTTTGAAAATTTTTTAGTGGGTTTTGTATTATGTGAAGTACACATCTGTACATTTACAGCGTATTTAGCTATGCCCAAAAAAAAATGAAAAATCACCAAAGATGGCGGTGTCGAAAACATCCTCGCACACTCACTAAATTTAATTCTCTTTTAATTTTTATTATTAGTATTTGTTTGCGGTATTTTATTTTTATTTCCAATTTGGTTAGGAATTCGGATGTAATGCTCAGGCAAACCTTGTTTAATTTATTGTTTTCCATAACATTTTTTTTTTTTCAGATTTTTCTTATGTCCCTTCTTTTTTTTTTTTTCTTTTTTTTTGGGTCCGCGTTCGGCCCGAACGACCGAACGCATCCCCAAGGGGTCCCATACGTTCGGGCGTTCGAGTTCGGGCGTTCGAGTTCGGGCGTTCGAGTTCAGGCGTTCGAGTTCGGGCGTTCGAGTTCGGGCGTTCGGCCCGTCCCGAACGCCGGTTACCCTGTATATATATATATAATACTAACCTCTACTCCGCAGACACTTGGCACAAGAGGCAGTTGCAACAACTTAACACGACGATTCAAAAGAATGTTTCGATTTGCAGCTGAGAGGCATTGATCAGCAGGCACTGCAATCAGGTATGGACCCTCTCTTTGTCTGGGGAGTGATCTATGTCATCGTTCATATCCCCTCTGGGCGTCTTTACATAGGTCAGACTATGCACTCCTCGCATCAACATTTGCAGGAACATTGGCATGTCGTCGTTCTGCTGCGGAGTTTCGGCGTCGCCCACTCTACAGTGTCATGTCTTGTCAAAACCCCTTCAATTTTGCAGTCTGGCCCTTGGAACGTATTGACCCGACGCTTTACCATACATCACAAGGTCTTGTTGACCGTAACCTTTTTCGACGGGCTGGTACGACACGGGAAGCCTATTGGGTACGCCGGTTGCGGACTCTTCATCCAGCTGGTCTCAACGCTGTCCTACCGCTTGCTCGCCTGCCTGCAAGAAGAAGACAACGTCGTCCTCATCGGTGGACACAGATAGGCCCTCGTCCGTTAGACCATCAACAGCCCCAGCCTATTGATTTGCGTCCAGGCCCCGACTTTCAAATCCGGTCTGCATTACACAATCTTCTCTCATAGGCTACTCCTGGCAATTCGCAACAGATGGAATTTGTCATCCAGCAAGCAACATAAGTTTGGCGTGCCCGCTTGCTGCAGTGGTTGAGCAGTGATATCTCCAATGCAGATATGACTGCGCATATCCGTTAGCTTGAATGCCTGATTCAGAAGTATCAACATGTCCGCCAACGATACACATCTCAGTCTTGAGATGCCTTCCTTGATCATATTAAAGTTGTGCACATGCACGAGGTATCTCAGGTAACGGGGCTGCGACAAGCCTTGCATGCACCCCAGGTGCTCCACTTGCACCCTGACCCTGATGCCACAACACACCTGCGTATCTGTGATAAGTTGTTGCCACCAACTCGCATCCAATTTTCTAATTTCACGGAAGTTGCGCTCAGCGTCACACATGGGATCTCCCTGCCTGACCCCTCAGACCTCCTCAGACTGTCAATGTCGGAAAGTGTTGACTGCTCACACTTAGTCGACGACCATGTTGTTACAGCCAACTGCGACATCATTCCTGATGATCGCCTCCGCGACTTGTTCCATGAAGGCTCAAAGTATCGTCTTAATGGACAAATCGCTGATGTGCTTCAGGCTGTTAGAGTCGGCCTTGACAAGTATATTGCTAAATACTTGAGGTCGGTCTCCGAGCAGCTTCGGCTGGCCACTCTGAACAAATTGCAGCAGTGGCGCTCAACCGTTCTCACACGTTGCCAAAGCAACATCTCATCCCCCCACACTACCACACGACAACCGCACTCCCTTCCCTCGGTACACAGGGCTTTGAGACACCTTCAACAACACTTTGCTATTGTTCATGTCGACAAGACATCACATAACTTGGCAATCTGTTGTAAAAATTGGTACCTGTCTCATCTATCTGCTCATTTGGACAACCCTACCTATGATGTGCCTCTTGAGTCTGTCGCAGATATCCTGAAACATCACGCGCTCTGGAATCATCGGTGGGAATATATACACAAAGACACGCTGCCATATCTGTACTATGCACTTAAAGCGCACAAATCGCCCCCTGGGCTTTGCAGTATTGTCGGCGTCACAGAGCGGAATAATCTCTCCCTGCCACAACAATCTTGATCAACTGCGCCATCTGTTCATGCAGTCCACCATTGACCTCCCCACAAACCCTTGGTCAGTACTACCGTTGCTTCTGCCCGCCTCAGCATTGCACTACAATGAGTCATTGAAACTCTCCGTTAGAAGGATAGTGTGTCGTATCAGCAAAGCGGTGTGAGACAGTGCTGGATCGTGCAAAGCGGTGAGGAGGTGATGCTTGATCTCAAACGAAATTCCTCTTCTCTTCGTAACCATGCTCCTCGCACTGTTGATTTCACAACTATGTATACCAATCTTCCTCATGATCGTATTTGTCATAATGTATCAAAAGCGGTTGAGGAAGCCTGTACATATGCCTTACAACAACACGCACAGGGGCGCACACATCCTCCTACCCTTAACATGATTGTTAAAGGGCCTCGTCAAGGGGAGTGGACGGTTGATACCGGACCAAACACCTTGACCGTTTCCCAAATTCTTGAACATCTCCATTTCGTTGTGACAAACACGTATCTTTATGCAGCGGACGACACCTTGCAACATCAGCTGATTGGCATCCCGATGGGGACTAATTCTGGTCCGATTGGGATGAGGCTCGATTTTTTGATGACCTCCAGCAGTGTGATCTTTGAGCAGCTCAACGGTATGCGTTCACATACCGCTTGATCGATGATGTTCTCTCATGGGGACATCTGGCACCACCGTCAGAACACTATGGCCTCGAATGGAAGGAGACCACAACGCCTGATGGCTCTTGCACATTCTTAGGTGCACGCCTCCAAGTCCGCCCTGACGATTCCCTGCGTATGAGTGTCTTTGACAAAGCAGCTGAATGAAATTTCCCTGTTATTCGTTATCCTAGTGCTACGTCTAACGTCCCTGCACACCAGCCGGCGGGAGTGTTTACAGACCAGCTTACTAGGTTTGAGTATGTCTGCAACAACTGGTATGATTTCAAAACTGCAGCAGCGATGTTCACACGCCGCATGCTTTTTTGCGGGCACTCTCCAACAACGCTTGCGAAAGGATGAACTTCCAATATTCGTAAACGTCAACACAGGTACCCTGCGCACGTAACCCGCCTCTCCAGCTGGTTCCGTAGCATGCTTCGATGGTCTATTCATCACCCGTTTTCTCGGGTATCCACACACTGTACTCGGACTACGCCTGTCACAACCCCTTTTTCATTATCGGCGGCTGTCACACCTATCACAACCTCTTCTTCATTACCTGCGTCTACCGCACCTGCGTCCTCATCAGTCTTAGTAACCTCTTCCATGTCGTTTGTGACCCTCGCTGCCCCTTTTCGGTTCACAGCCTCTTCCTCGTCGACCTTGGTTGCTTCTACGACTGATTCCGCGGGTGCAACTCGACCCGCAACTGTTGTGTCGCCCTTGGTCTTGGTGTGTTCCTCCATGGCATCCGGTGCCACTGCAACTGTTGTGCCACCCTTGGTCTCAGTGCGTTCCTCCATGGCATCCGTGACCATGCCTGCATTACCACCTGCAGAGTCCTCTCTTCGGGTCTCACCTACGACTGCCCCCCCTGTCTCTGCTTCAGCCACTTCACCACCCTTGACTTCATCCCCCCCGTCTTCACCGCCTAAATTTCCCTTGGTTTTATCGCCGTCTGTTACCCACCTTCCGACAACTGTACCACCCCCATCTTCACCACTCCTACCTCCCCTGGTTTTGTCTCCATCCGTTACCCCTCTTCCTAATCCACAAACCACTTCGTCCACACAGACTCCGTCATCATGTTCTGCCCCTGCAGAAAGCCTACTTCGCCGTCCTAGACGCCGACTTCGACCTACTTCCCAACCTCAACTTACTCCCCTTTCCTCCATCTCTGTTCTTGGATGAAGAAGAAACCGTTCATTCTCCCCACCACGGCCCTCCCCAACATCCCGTCCTCGTCTTTTGGCGCCCGAAGCATCCTTATCACACCTGAAATGCTCTTCGACTGCAGACCTTTCTGCAACGTGACAAACACAAAACAGGAGGGATGATGGCAAGGGGCTATCCAAGGATGAACTTGGCAAAGGGACTGTAGGAGCTCCTATAGAAAATCCGCCTGACTCGCCTCCACCGAATCTGTGTGGCCTCGCTGCTACTAACATTTGCCTGCAAGCCTATTGTCGGGAACCATATACTCACTCTGATTTCTTGGACATTGCTTCCAATCTTGATGCTCAGGAACGTGAGTTATATGGCAATAACCCGACTCTGCATCCCCCACAGGATAGTAATTACACTCGACATGGGGGATTCAATATCTCTGTTTTGGAAACTGCTTTGATAAGGCGCCGACTTGATATGCAGCGTGCCCCTTCAGGTGGCGACCCGACCCGGACCACTGTTCGCATGTTTGTGCCTATATTCTACATGCTCCTGGCCACTACACCGCTCTTGTCCGTGCCTTTGGTTCTTGGGAATTATGGAATGGCGGTGCTATGGTGCAAACTATTACTGCCATCTGTGACCTCGTGCGTAATTACCCTAACCTGCAACTGTTCCAGGTCGTTGACCCTATGGGTACCTCTTGTACTTCCATGCCCGCCTCTACACCTATCTCTGTGCCTGCCTCCGTACCTGTCTCTGTGCCTGTTTCTGTGTCTGTCTCCTTCCATATTACCAACTCTATGGGTACCACGTGTACTTCCGTCCCCGCCTCTGCACCTGTCTCTGTGCCTGCCTCCACACCTGTCTCCATGCCCATGTCCGTGGCTGTCTCCGTGCCTACCTCCATGTCTGTCACCGTGCCTGCTTTAGTCTTCATTCCCCCACATGTTGCACTAACACCTTGTGACCTCCTTCTTTGTGAGATCACTGACACAGTTACACTTGGTTGTGGGAAGCATCGACTTTGTCGACATCACTACAACCGTATAATTTTTTGGGCCCGCTGTCGGCAGGGATGCCACCTGTATCTGGATTGTGAACATCCTCTACATCCAGATGCAGTATGTCCCATCTATGCCTGTGGGCGCTATAGTGAATGTGCACTTAACTGTGATGGTGAACGCCCCACAATCGTCATGGTCTGCAACCGGCATGCCCTCTGTCGTGCATGCTTCAGAGGTATGTTTAATGCTAGCCGCCCTGGCTCCTGCTGTGACGAAGTTGCTTACCTGAATGGTTTTCGTCCTGTAGATCAGCAGGAGGGCTGCTACCATCGTCCGCATCCTTATGACAGTTGTCCTATCTGTCGTGAGGGTCTTACTTAGACGTACCTACTAAAACTGCAAAACTGTGAAGAATGCAGTAAAAGAAGAACATAATTTTCTGTCATCTTACTTTGTTTGTACCCTGCACCCTAACACCCTAAAAATAAAAGTCCGAAGGGTGAAAATGAAGATGAAAAATGAAGAAGGAAGTGCAGGTGTGCTGAAAAGCGAACGTGGTAGACTCTTCACAAAAGCTGCAAAACAGTGAAAGAAAGAAGATGTTTGGATCACCCTCTGCCTATCAGTTTTCCTTTTCTGCTCCTCTCTTCCTTGGGTTTAACACCTCTTCCTTCACTCTGCCTCTTCCCATAGTGTGCAAGTGGGCTGTTATGGCATACGGGGATGGGGGCAGCTCGCGCTCAACTTCATCAACGTGGCGAGCCTTGTACGTTAGAGGCATAGTCGAGGAGGCGTTAAGAAGACTGAGAAACTGAATGATTTCAATGTGTCTTTGTTTTTGATTTTTATCCTTTGATTCAGTGTATTTTTTTTTTTGTAAAACACTGAAAGAAATAATCATACTATGAAACAAAGAATAAGAGGAACACTGTTTTGTGTCATTCTGGTTTGTCTGTCTCTTTGCCTGTCCGTCCTTTCATTTTTCTTTTCTTCGCTCATCTTATTTCTTCTTCTACTTCACGTGCTTACTCTCTTAGTCAATAGTTCTGTGACAATATATATATATATATATATATATATATATATATATATATATATCGTCAAATAAAATATATATATATACAGGGTTACCAGCCCGTACGTACGGAGGCCCCCGGGTGGACCTCCGTACGTTCGGGCGTTCGGGGTCCCGTACGGGGCCCGAACCCGACGGCGTTCGACCCCCGCCAAAAATTATTTCGGGGCCTAATTTTTTTTTTTTTTCTGAAATTTTTGTTACGACTTCTCTATGACGTGAGATACATGCCTCTAAATGTTCAAGTCATTTGGCTGAGTCAAATAAGAATTAAAAATTGCCAAAGATGGTGGTGTCAAAACGTGCTCGCCCACGTTTTTTTTCAGTTTTTACTTTTTGTTTTCACTTTAGTTCGGGGTCTAAACAATTTTATTATTTTTTGAAACTTTTTTAGTGGGTTTTGTATTATGTGAAGTACACATCTGTAAATTTTCAGGGCATTTAACTATGCAAAAAAAAAAAATGAAAAATCKCCAAAGATGGCGGTGTCGAAAACATGTTCGCGCACTCACTAAATTTAACTCTCTTTTTATTTTTATTTATTTTTATTATTAGTATTTGTTCTGTTTGTTTTATTTTTATTTCAAATTTGGTAAGGAATTCGAACGTAACGCTCAGGCAAATCTTGTGTAGTTTATTTTTCTCCATAAC